TCCATGTTGTGATGCCGCTGCGAGAGTGCGAAACTGGAATTAATATGTGGCACCCAGGCGACGACCAAAGCGCTGCTGCTGACATGACCACGAAATGGGGCGCCGCATTGGATGCCAAATGACTGTGGGTGGCAAGCGTTGCGGCCAATCGGTTGCTGACTGGTTGGGTACTGACCTGACCTGGCCTGGCCTGCCCTGGCCGGGACTATCCCGGTTGGACTATGTCGGTAACTGGCATTTTAAAATTTATGATACGCAATTGATTTTATTAACAAACAAAAATATTGGCTTCTCACTGGCGGCTGCATTAACGTAAAACCAGCTTAATTAAGCTGCGAGTATATGCCCCAAAAGGACACCCACACACTGCTCTCTTTAAGTTTATTACCCATACGCATGCCAGGGGCAATATCCAAACACCAGGCCAGGCACAAGGTCACGACACTGCTGTGCCATCATTAATCAGAGGCTTGTGGCAGCCAGTCTCAGTTAAAGCAAACATTGCGGGTTTTCTCCTGCTCCTGTTCCTGTTTCTGGTCCTACTCCAACTTCTGCTCCTGCTCATGCTGCTGCTCCTGCTCCTACTTCTGCTCCACATGCACTTAGCTGCTGTTTCGGTTTGGCAATTTTGGCTTCTGCAGAGGTTTAGGTATTCAACACACTTGGAAAAAATTATGACTTAGAAGATTACTTTGGACTTTCGATTTTCTCAAGATTTCAACTTTTTTTGTCGACTTAGCCTTTAAAAAAAAAAAAAATATATATATATATAATTATATATATTTAAGGTGTAAGTCATTAAGCTATTTTTTTAATGATTGATTTTTATTTTTCTGCGGGGAAACAAATATGTAAATGTATATGTATATATTAATTAAAGAGCTCGACTTGTCGACAAATATTTTTTTTAAATCACAATTTTTGAATTATTGATTATTTTTACAACATAGAAGAAAAAATGTCAAATATTATAACCAATTTTTAGAGAGATTTTCTCAGGATTTGGGACATAGATTTTTGGTGAGTGCAACTCCGTTGCACTTTTCGACAGCACAACTGTAGTTTTGCGGGCTTGCACTTGTGGCCAAATGTTGGCCAGTCGGCTTTGTTCAGTTTAGACATGGCCACGACGACATGTTGATTGAGTCACCTAACCAGCCACACAATGCCCAAATACGGCGCAGCTCCTCAACAGGGGACAACTGCAACGTGCCATGTGCAACGTGCAGCGTGCAACGTGAGAATGTTTGCCTGCTCCATTTAATGGCTACATACGAGATTACGTATGTGTGTGTTTATGTGTGGGTGTTTGATTCAATTTTTGATTTTTTTTTTTTTGGTTTAGTTACGAGTCAGTTACCAACTACATTTTTACGTGGCATGACTAAAACAATAGAAGAATCTTCTCTGCAACTACTTAAATTAATCCTCGAAAATTTCAATCAGATCAACTAGCTCGGAAAATCACTGATTTTCAGAAATATACTGTCATGGAGCAGCCAGTTGAATAACTTAATAAATGAAATGTCTAATTTATATTAGTTTCTGATCCGCAATTATGTTTTAAAAATCAATTTAACACTTTTAAAACGCATTTCCACTTGTTATGGTTGTGGCCCAGTTTCCCAGATTGCGTCCATAACATTAATTTGTACGCTTCTTAGGCACTCTGGGAGCCTATTGTATTGTCTGAACGCATTTGGTTTTCAAACTGACCAGCTAACAGATAAATATAGCAACTGCAACAGCAGAAACAACAACAACAGCAACAACAACAACAACATTCAACATCAATTTGTACAAATTTGTTAAGGCTCATAAAAATGTTGAGCGGCTTCTCGAATGCAACACATGGCGAAGAGTCGGGAGAGTTGGGGTTGAAAAAGTTGAGGAGACCTGAGAACGTCATTAATTGAAAGACGAAAAAAATGAAAAATGAACGAAGGCCGCACAGTGAGAAAACTAAAAAAACAAAAACAAAAACAAAAACAAAAACTAAAAAACAGCAGCAGGTTAAGACATCAACTTTAATATTAGTTCGGTGTTTTTTTTTTTTTTTTTGGCTTTAATTAAAATGTATATGTTTCTATTGTTTGACGGCGCAACGAAATTTCTAACTTATGCGACAGTTTTATTGGCCAACTCAAAGGCGGCATCGGATGCAGTGCCAGCCAGGTCCACAAATGGGTTAACGTTAATTGCGCCTTTATGTTAAACAGCAATAGAAGTCGATTTTGCCGCAGCCGCAGCAGTCAAAAAGAGTTCAAAAGGCACGGAGACAGAGACGGAGATATATATAGGTCTATATATATATATCTCCGTCTTTGTCTCTGAGAGAAAGATGACCAAGTAAAAATTCAACGGATCCCGTTGTCCCCCTTAGCCATTAACCACTACCCACTTGGCATGCACTTTTACAAGTTCTTCGTAGCTGTTCAAAATTCCGCGAAATATTTGCATTACTTAACCCATTCGGCTGGCTGACCAAGTTGTAAAATAAAAAAAAAACACTGAAAAAAAAAACAATTAACAATGGCTGCCAGCGATTACAACAAATGGCAAATAAAATGACATTAAAAAAAGAAGCTGACAATAAATGCGAAAAAAATGTGTAAATCGTACAGTTACAGTTAGAGTTAGAGTTACAGTTAACCCTTCGTCCTGGCATTGTGCGTCGTCCTTCGAGTCCGGCACACTGTTCCACATCTTCTAATTTATGTCGCTCCGAGGTTTACGGCTTTATTGTTTTACGAGCGTTAAAAAAGGGCGCATTTTTTGTAACCCCTTCGAGCAACAACAATTTGCAATTGTGCGGCAGTAACGGGTTAAGGCGCGCCCCTACCTACCGTTAATACTCGGAAATGCATTTTACGCCGTTATAACTTCTTTATTTGTATGTTTTTTCTTCGATTTTTTTTTTGTTTTTTTGTCGTTTGTTTTTTGCCCAACTCTTCCCTGAACTGAACCGAACTATTTAGATTTCTAGGTTTTCAGAGCAGCGCAAAGATCTGTTTCTCTTTTTTTCACCCTATTCATCCTTTTTTTATTTTATTTCGTGTTTTAGTTTTCTTTTTTTTTTGGCATTTCCAAGAAGATACAACTACCCATTTCCGAGTTACATTTAACGCCATGAGTTTTATTTTCGTTTTTTTTTTTTTCGAAAAAAAAAAACACTTTTGCTGCGTTTTGACTTTGTATTTGTTGGACTTTGACTTAATGGCCAGCCTGGTAGCAAATGAGATTTACATACATACATATGTTTACGTGCGGAATGTACATTTCTGAGAGAAGAGAGAGAAAGAGAGAGAGAGAGAGAGAGAGAGAGAGACTCAGGCTTATTCTCTCAGCTCCCTGGGGAGGTGCAATTCGAGGTGGTTGGTGGTGCGGCTGTTGCCCCAGTGGGACTGCCACAATAACCTAATCGTAGTTACATCCATTAATTGCAATGCATTTGCCTCTATTTGTTCATGCAATTTGCTTTCATCAGCCGTCGAGGCGTGTCTAAAAAAAGAAGAGAATAAAAAGAAAATGGAATGGAATATTAAAAAGAAATTGGGCCTCGAACTCGGCCTCTTTGGTCTGCCCATTTTTGGAAATTGCTCAACTTAGGCGCGCATCATTTAACTTTGAGCAACGAGCAGAGTGGATTACACACATGACAGAGCATCTCCAATAATGCATAGAGTGATGCGCACAAAAGGACTACAACAAGGACAAGAACACATATCGCCCGGGAGACACATAGCGGGGAAAACAAACAAACAAACAAACTGCAAGCGTAATCGAAACCCGTCAAAATGGCAAGCGAAACAATGAAAACGGCACCGGACCCAAGACACTATACACACACACACACACACACACACTACCGACCGGGGGTACTGCTACTACCGGTCTAAGATCAACATAAAGGTAGCCGCGGCCTCGCTTGTAAGGTCGTTACGTCGCCTCACAGGACACTAAGCACATTACGTACTGCATTCCTTGTTCGTTTTCGCATACTTATTCGCATTTTGATTGCAATCGGAGCTACACACACACACACACAGACACACACACACACAGAAACGAACACACACATTAGATAAGGATCAGCTGCCTGGGTTGGAAACTGGGTGCTCGCTAGGTACGCCTAAATCTCTACAATCTCCCATGTGTGTGTGTGTGTGTGTGTTTCTGGGCCATGGCTAATACGAGCTGACAGATTATTATTAGCGTAACATTAACGTCAAATTACGCATCTATTTTGCGCACTTTATCTCAGCGCACCGACATCGACATCAATAGCAACCGGTATTCATTTCTCAATCTAAAACATAACACACACATGAGTGTTGGATATGTTGTATGTGTGTGTGTGTGTGTGTATGAGTGTTGGCATCTGTATTTTTGCCTTAAGATTAGCCAAGACTGGACTCTTGCTATCGAGTGGATGCAGTTGCAGGTGAGCTGATTGACCAACAATGAACAATACTATTTATTAAGCTATAAGGAAATTTCAACAGAATTGTGTACAATAAGTGTACACTTCGAAAAAAAAAAACAACCGAGCTGAATTTTAGAAAATCATCACATGTAACTCAGCTTATTATTCCAAAAGTATATATTTTTAAAATATATTCCAAAGCATTTTAGATAGATTATAATACTCGTGTATTTTAGTATGATAAAAGCTACTTTCATTAAAAGTTTCTACTTTTTAAGAAATATTTTCGATTATTAAGAAATATATATCTGAAGAATTATAAAAAGTCGTTGTAAATTCAAGAAATATGTTTTTCGTGTATATAAAAACTATTTCCTAAATCATGAAAAACTTCATTACTTTCAGGTTTATTTTCATCTTCTGAGATTCAGGGCAACTTTTTTCCAGAGTGTAACAATGCACTTATAGAAATATAAACATGTATATAGTAATCATTAAAAAGTACAAGATTAAATATGCTTGAAGACGCTGCTTATCAAATAGCTGTCATTTAAAACAGATGAGTTTCAGTTTGAATTTGTGTTTTGTGTTTTAATGTTGATCTGATTTTGAATAAGGCCAAGTAATAAATCTGTATATGTTTATAGAAATGGTGTCATCTTTCGATGTTCCCATCATTTGTTGATAGTTTTCTTGAGCCACAAAGAGCAGATGCTTAAGCATACAACAATATTGGCAAATACAATCAGCCGCAACTGCGGTTCAGACAAGTGCTACATTATCCCAAGACAAATGCTTACCGGATTTCAAAGGACTCCACATATAATAATGTGACAGCCCGCAGAACCTTAAAATGTCGTCGTAGTATACATGCGTCTAGTAGTGTTTTTCATGTGGAACTGGGGAAAGCACTTAGGAGGCGTAAGGGCGTTTAAGTGTTGCCACCTGACGCAACTCCCAGAAGAACACCAGAATGAAAACAAAAAACGACTACTACTGCTGCTCCTGCAAGAATTTGTTCAGCTCCTTATTTGTTTATTGTGGGCTGTGTGTGGCAGGGTTGCCAGGCGAGCCGGCAATGCGTGACAATAATTAAAAGATTTCTAGTGTCAACAGCATAAATGGAATCAAAACAGAGTCGCTGCCAAAACTAAATGGCACACAAGACGCAGCCCAAAATAATAATCCTGCGTCCTGTGGGTTCGACGAGTGGTTGGCTGGCTTGCGTGGGCATGAAATGCGCACGTTGTTTGTTTATTGAGCGGGACTTTGATTTGTGCAACCAGAGTCGAGTCGAGTCCACAACAATCCAAGCTGAACTGAATTTGATGCCCCCCACCAACCACTGACCACCCTCCAAACATCCTCCCCGCATCCACACACCGCGACAAGTACACGCGTGTTTGTAGAGCTGTTGTGTGCATAGGCAACGCCGATTATTGACACATCACCGGCTACGCGATTCATGGTGGGTTAAGGGGTTTCAACAAAGGGATGGGCGTAAGGGGGTAGAAGGGGGTGTGGGTGAACTCTCGAGCTGAAAAACAAACACTTGCGCGAAGAAGACAAATGCAAATCGAACTGCAGTCAGATTTCGCGTGTGAGTGTGTGTGTAAGAGTGTGTGCTTGTATCCCAATTCCAATTTCGATTTGTAGACCAATCGTCCCAACCCCCTCCCTGGTTATGCGGTCGTGCGTGAAATTTAATCAAAGCAAGGCGTACGCCCCCTTTGCCGCCTCCTTGCCACTTTCCCCTTTTCCCGTACAACATAACCCGATCTCAGCCCATCAATGTGGCCAACAGATTTTGGTATCCCAAACTGAAGCAAGCGGAAATGTTGCACATTTGTAACTGTAACTTGCTTCGGGTGTTTTCTCTTCACAAAATGGGCAACAAGATAAAAGGAGAGAAAACTTTTTTCTGTTTTGTGTTTTTTTTTGCTTGCTGTATCGAATTTTGCACACCCTTTTTTTAATGGCAATTATGAAGAAGGATTTGTTACATATATTGACGTCAGTTTGATATACTTGCATTATGTCTATGAGCTTGAAAATAAGGAGTGAAAAAGGAGTATAATATTACATATTCATGTTAAGTAAATTGAATGAATTGGTGGTAAAACTGCTGATGAAGCTAGAGTATATTGACATTGGGTGCCCAACTGGGGAACTGGAGAACGTCAAAGTTTTACACACAAGTGCAAATTTCTGTCAATTGTTGTAAATGGAGTTTCCTATTTCCTGTTCTCTGTCTGTCTGCAGCAATTTACCGAAAAGCAGGTGGGGTGGGAGCAAATGATTTGTTGAATTTTAGTTGGCTTTAGTATGTTGGCAATGCTTAGATTCAATTTACGCGCTTAGTTTCAATGTTGAATGGCATTTGGCAGCGTCGTAGCCCTGGCCGTAAAAATTGTGCTTGCGCCCTGGATGATTATTATTGAAAGAGGAATGTGGTAAAGTTGAAACGAAAACAAAACGCAAACAGCAATAAGAACAACATCATGCGAGCTAAAGCGAACATGCGTTTATTTTTAAACCATATACGACTCTCTCACTCTCGCGCTCTCTGCTCAGTCGAACTTTTGATATTGTGGCGCCTCTCTCTTTGTCAGCGCCGCTCTCTTTGTTCGTGTTTGGGTTCTTCGGAGAGCAGTTTGTTTTCGTCAGCGACCAGCTTTGTCACGTGGAAAACTTGCTATCGATGTTGCTGCTGCTGCTGTCGCTATCGTCGTTTCGCTTTTAATATTCACTTTTATTTGCGGTCTGACATTTGTGTTGGCCCGCTTGCGTACAGTGGGGCAAGTGCACAGGACTGATCAGGTTTGCGAACCACTTGTTTCTTTTATTTTAGTATATTTCTTTGCATATGTTGGTATACCAATGTAATTATTAAACGTTCTTGTTGCTTAATTATTAAGTGTGTGTCAGTAGTTAGTGGCCACTGTGCACATGTGTCGATTCCAGCATACCGCTTTGCTTTGCTCTCCTATCGCTCTTCTTCTTCGCTTTGAGAGCGTAAGTAGATCTCAGCGTCGCTTGCATTCACCTTCCCCTTGTCAAGCATGAACACTTTGCGGTTAATCATGATGACGGGGGCGTTTGCGATGCCAGTTGCGGTTGTTGTGGCCTGTCAATCGTTGCTTTTGCGTTGTATTCTGCTTTTGTTGATAATCGGGAGCGGCGACGCCGATGTCGTCGTCGTCGCAGTGTTCGCAATTTAAGTTTTTTGGGCCCGTTGGCCAAGCACTGTTGTCGACGTCACGTCAGTTCATTGCGTCGGCTTGTAGAGCTTGCTAGTGTTTTTTTTTTTTTTTTTTGTTCTCGCGATTCTCAATTGTCCATGTGTCTCTGTGTGTGATAGTGCTCTTCTGTGACTGCTGCTAGCTGCTTTCTCTTCTTCTTGCCCGCTTCTGTTGTTGACGTTGTCGCCGCATTGTTTTTATTGCCATCGTTCGCTGCCCGTTGCTGCCGTCGTGGCCGCTGCGCAGACCCAAAAACAAAACCAAAACAAAAAAAAAAAAAAAAAAAGAAAATCAACTCGATTGTGATATAATTTGTTAAGTATTTATTTAATTGTATTCGGCACAAGCGTGCCACGACGGACCACGACTGCACCCAGCCAGCTGCAGCAGACGCAGCAAACGTTGAAGAAAAAAAAACAAATACCAAAAAAAAAAAGCTGCCTCGCTTGCCGTCTGCGTCTCCTCTGGCACGCTGTCTCGCTCACCCGCAATGGTCTACTCGACGAACATATTGCTGTGCATTGTGACCATATTGACCGCAGTGTTCATATGGTCGCGTCGCACCTACGTCTACTGGCAGCGACGTCGCGTCAAGTTTGTGAAGCCGACGCATCTGCTGGGCAACCTGAAGAGGGTCCTCAAGCTGGAGGAGTCATTTGCGATGCAGATGCGTCGCTTCTATTTTAACGAACGATTCCGCAACGAGCCCGTCGTTGGCATTTATCTGTTCCATCAGCCGGCGCTGCTCATTCGCGACTTGCAACTGGTACGAACCGTTCTCGTCGAGGATTTTGTCAGCTTCTCGAATCGGTTTGCCCAGTGCGATCTGCGGCGCGACAAGATGGGCTCTCTCAATCTATTCTTCGCCCGCCAGCCCGAGTGGCGCGACATTCGCACAAGACTCTCGCCGGTCTTCACCGGCGCCAAGATCAAGCAAATGTTCTCACTCATGGAAGAGGTGAGTCCAAAGACAAACGCAAAACAACAAGCAATCAGCTTGTCAACACTGTGCAACAAAAAAACAATGACCATTTTTTTTCTTTTTGTGCTTATCTTATTAAAGTACTGCTGCTTGTAGTCATATTACACAAGTTAATAATAACAAAATATAAAAAATAAATTTTAGATAAAATGCTCGAAAAGTTTATAAATTTAACAAAAAATCGAAAAATGTTGCATTCGACCTTTGGTCAAATCAATACTCAAATATACAAATATACTTAATTTATTCCGCCTTGTATCAAAGTTCAAAATATTTTTCCGTAAGTGCAATTTGTAGTTGGCCCCCAAGTCAGACACAAACAACACAAACAACGAGCGAGCAAATATTTTGTATTCAGCGTAGTGTTGCTGTTGACTTTGTGGATGATTCAATCGACCAAACATGTTTGTTCTCTGACGACTTACGTGGCCTTTGAAATCTTTCGTTTCATAACAAACATATTTAGCATCAATTTTGTATTCCCTAAGTAGAAAGATATATATATATATATGAATTTAGTTGATATTTCAATCGAGTTCGTTGCAATATGTTGCACAGTGTTTTAGCTATCGCACTAGGTATTGAGATATATTAATAGACATTGCGTTCCTTTATAGATTGGCTGCGATCTGGAGTGGTATCTGAAGCGTTTGACACGCGACATGCGACGTGGCGACGCCGATCGAGGAGTGGTCGTCAGCATCAAGGATGTGTGCGATTTGTACAACACGGATATGATTGCGAGCATTGCGTTTGGACTGAGATCGTACAGTTTGCGGAATACGCAGTCGGAGATCGGTTCACATTGTCGGGAGATATTTCGACCGAATGTGCGTCGCATGGTTGACTTCTTTGTGATATTCTTTCTGCCCAAGCTGGCGCCGCTGTTACGGTGCAAGCTGTTCACAGAGCCGCACTCGGAGTTCCTGCGCCGCGTCATCCAGCTGGTGATCGAGGAGCGCGAACGGGGCGGTGATCTGCGCAATGATCTCATTGAAATGCTGCTCACACTCAAAAAGGAGGCCGATCTGCAGCAGGACAAGTCACACTTTACGCACAACCAAGACTTTCTGGCCGCCCAAGCGGCCAGCTTTGAGGTCGCCGGCATTGCCACATGCTCGGCCACCTTGTCCTTTGCTCTATACGAGCTGGCCAAACAGCCGCTCATCCAGGAGCGACTGCGCCGTGAGATACGTGACGCGTTCAATGCTGGCCCAGGGCTCAGCTATGAGCGCATCGCTGGCATGCACTATCTGGAGATGGTCGTCGAGGAGACACTGCGCATGTATCCCATTGTGCCCATACTCGAGCGCGAATGCACGCCGATCAACAAGAAGCGCTTCTACTCGCTGCGGCCACATGCCGAGTGCTATGCGAGACGCGGCATGCCCGTGTTCATATCCAATCTGGCCATACAGCATGATCCGCAGGTAAGAGACTGCAATCGCTTACCATCCGGTTAGAATATAAGCATTTCGTTTGGCTCTCCTTGCAGTATTGGCCAGAACCCGATCGATTCGATCCGGAACGCTTTAGTGCGGAGAATAAGCCAAAGCAGACGCCCATGTCATATCTGCCATTTGGAGCCGGACCGCACAATTGTATTGGTCTGCATATTGGCCAGCTGATGATTAAATTGGGACTCATCTATTTTCTGCGCCAGCATCGCGTCGAGTTCTGCGACAAGACCGTGGAGCGGATCAGTTTCGATGCCAAGTTTGCTCTGCTCGCCAGCGAGCATTGCATCTACCTCAAAATTGCTGACTGTATATAGCACAAGGTCATCTGATGACCACAGCTGCTCATCACCCTGCTCATCCTGCTCATCCTGCTCATCATCAGCATCATTGCTATCGACACCAACATTATTTTTAATTATCACCAGCCACACACATCACAGCATTAACCTCAACTTTTAGTTCACATTGTGCGCAGTGTAAATATAAATATATATATGTATATATATATATATTTATATATATTTCTTGTATGGGTCAAATAAAATTGGCTACGTTCTACATTTTTGTTGATTTGTTTTTGTTGTCTTTTCGGTTCTCTTTTATCTGCCTTTCAAACTTATTTATTACCTTACCTTAGCTCAGTTTTCGCATCGTCATCGCCCCCTTGATAGCTTATCAGCATTCTGTTTGCACTTTGGCTATATACGCCTGGTGGCCTGATCGGCTACCAGTTTGAGACCTCCCTCCCCCCCCCCCCCCCCCTCCCTACCCCAACACTTCTTCGCTCTCTCGCACTGATTCGGTGTATTTGTCATCAGAACTGGGTGTGTGACAAGCCCACTCAGCCTACTCAACAACCACCCGCCTCCTCCTCGTTCCTCCTAGCTCTTGCAGTACCCGATACAACTTCAAACGTCTTACGGGGAGAGTGGACTGCTTGATGCGTAGCCGAAATGATCGCGATTCGTTTGGAAATGCCTCAAAAATACGATGATTTTAAATAGTTTCTCATAAAACGGTTTGTGCTGATAGAGAGCTGGGAGAGATTGGCCCGGAACTCTTTGTTGACTAAGTCCACGAAATGACTTCATTTGTTAGTTTTGTATTTGCAAAATTATTTCATTTCTGTTGTAAAAGATCTGAACGAAATTCCAAAATTATGGTTATTTTATCACAAAAAGAGAATGGGAAATATGAAATTAGAATAATTAGAAAATGAATGAATCTAAATGTATAGTTATTGAATAGAATATAAAATTAAAATTTAAAAAAAATATATAATAATTTAATTTTTTTTTTACTGAAAAGTAAAATAAAACGAATCAAATTTAGCAGTTACAATACAGCAAATGGTTTATAGTCTTATCATAATAATCACATTTACTTATCAATTTAAAGCATTGTTTATTTTGTCAAGTCAATTAAACAAAAATGACAAATAAATAACTAGAAATATTTTTGCATACAAGCCACACAATTGAAAGCTGCGGCTGTTTAAACTGAAGCATTCACAACGTGAAGGAGGAGTAGTTGAGAGGCGGGGGCTGGTTGGCTGGATTAATGGCAAACAGCTGTTGCCATGAAAGCTTCTCAATGATGATGGGGCAGCAATGCTTAAATACATATATGTACATATGTACATGTAAACATATTTATGTATATGCGTATGTGTATCTGTGTATGTGTGTATGCAAGTTGTAGAGCGTTATGCAAATGCTCACACCCCGAGTACAAAGCGAGGATGCCGCGCTGAAGAACCGTGAAAGGTTTTGTTCGTGATTTCTATGGAAAAATGCACTGATTTTTCTTAGCATTTAACACGATGCGGCGAAGGCGGCGGCGGTTGTGAAAGCCTGTTACCAAAGCCTCAACTCTTTGGCTGCCCAAAACCAAAACCATTTCAACGGGCCTGTTTTATTAGACCGCGAAAAATCAACAGTGGCCAGGGTGGTCAGCTGTCTGTCTGTTTGTCTGCCTGTTTTGGAGATATATAAAAAAAATAGAAAAGGATATTATTTGTGTGCGTGCGAGTGTGTGTGTGTGTGTGTGTGTGCTAAAAGGGTTTACAACAATGTCATAAAGCAATGCGCATTCCTTTCCTGCACAAATATTTCTCTCTGTGTGCTCAGTTTTGTTGAGTGCCTATGTAAATGAAATAAAATTCACTTTTTCACGTGAATGAAACGCGGCGGCAATGGCGAAAGCGAAAGAGTTGCCGTTGCCGCTGCCGCTGATGCTGTTGTTGTGGTTCTTGTTGTTGTTGTGGTTGTTGCTGTTGCTGTTGCTGCTGCTGCCTTCTGGGAATCAATTGTGCATTTGAAAAGGACGCTGGCCAGCTAATTTACATAAATCTACGTAAACACACTTCGAGCTTAGCTAGTATGCAGTTAAACAGACAGACAGAGAGTGAGCGATATATATATATATATATATAGAGAGAGAGAGAGAGAGAGAGCTGTCAGCAAACAGCTGTTGCAAGTTGCTAGCTGCTAGCAGGTTGCTGTTTTCCTTTGTCGACTCGTTGTTGCGTGTGCATTAAGCGTTAATTAGAGCCTGGCGAAGTTGTACAGCTCCCACGCACGTGTTGGCCTACACTTGTTGTTTAAGAGGGGACTACCCCTAGTTACCCCCACCCTCCCCCCAAACACTCCCCCGCCGCACGCAACACGAGTGATAGGGCTGACAGTTGCTGTTGTTACGGTTCACCATGACCAACGCCAACAATTACGACGCCGGCCGCCGCAATTCTATTGTCTTTCGATTTCCTGGCTGCGTTTTTATTGCCCATTTCCCACATGTTTTTTTTTTTTTTTTGTCTGTCGGACTTCGGAGAGAGACACCCGAGACAACCAAGACACTTGCTCCCTTGGGCCCGGCGAATGACACTTTCGGTTAGTGTCTCGCTGCATCTCTCGTGAAAACGTTTTGAATGCCGTCTCGCCTTTAACGGGTCCGCAGCGGAACCATTTTAATGATCACAAATTGCTTGGGCTGAGCACAAGTTCAATCGCCCAATCCTCATCCAATCGTCAATGGTCACCACATGCACATGCCAATTGGGAATGGAGGGGAATGGTTAAAGCGGATGTTGCCCTTTATCAGTTATACCCAGTAAACAGTTACCAGTTACCAGTTGGCGGCGGCTCTCATATATTTATTTGGCTGTTATCCATAAGCCGTAACAAACTAATTAAGCCTGTCACATTTGTTTCGTATTTTTTCCTTCTTCAATAAAATTATGAATTTTTCATCAAAGTTTTTTAATGATCGCAACAGCTGTGCTGTTGTAGCAGGTAGACCCTAGCCACATGCGGTATGCAACCAAGCGTTTAACCTTGATTGCTGCCAACTTGTAGACTTCTTTGGGAATTGGTAAACGTATATTAAATAAGCGAATGTATCAAAAATTCAATCAGTTGCTCTAGTTGCAGCTAACTTATAATTTGATTTTTGTTTCTATTTTATGTTTTTTTTCGATTAAAAGAATAATTTTTAAAATAACTTTTCGGTTGAAACAATTATGTTTCTTATAAAGTCTGTCTCAGGTCTGAACTGAATAAGTCACGTTTGTGAAGTTAAATTCTATTAGAATGCTTAAGTCTATCTCGATGCCACAACTAGGAGTGATATATATATACATACCTATGCCAGTTTGGCTTTATTGACAAAAAGTGGTTTCGATTAAAAGGTATGCAAAAATGACCATGCAAAAAATTACAATTCGAAAATATCAAATAAAATATGTAATTTGGTAATTGAAGACCAACTTCAGATGATGAAAGCTCTCTTAAAATACTTTTCTTTATTTGCATCTCATGTTTTTAAATTCGAGGCTCTGTTGTCACCCGCAACAAAGTTGCCGAGATGCTTTTCATGTGGTCGCCACTTTGATGTCTCTCCAGCGGCTCCTCCTCGTGTGCCGACTCCGCGATGCAGTCAAAGATTTACGTACAATGCTCAAGTGGCAGGATGATTTTAACGATCTGCTGCCAAAGCGAATCAACGGATGAGAGAATGCCGCATCCGCAACGAACTCGGTCTTGGACTCAAAAGGGGGCAGGGTCTATGGGATTTTGCTGCAGTTCGCACATTTTACACGTATATATGTATATATATATATATATACATCTATGTATCTGTATCTACAGTGTACTATCTGCAATATGTATCTGTTGTAAATCAGCTCGTATATCTGTGAGGTAAACAAACTCATCCGACTGCCTGACATAATAGTAATAATAATAATAATGAAGAAAAAAACGGCACAAAGAGCTCGCTCAGATTTTCATGAATGAATATGAATAGTGAATGCGGAATGCCGAATGCTGAATCGTGTCTCATTCACAGCGCATTCACTGTCGTAATGCGCTTAGGATGGGTTGACGCATTCTCGTCACCCGTCTTCGGTGCGGGCGGCTAAATTGTGACAGATTTAGATATAGATACAGATATAGATACAGATACAAAGCTGAGACGGGGTCGAAGATGCAACGGGAGTGCCATGTAAATGTAATTCAAGTAGCCGTTCGGCGCTGGCGCTATCAATGCGGCACAATCAGTGCCATTAATATACGCATATCTGTGACATACGCTCTTTCTCTCTCTCTCTCTCTCTCTCTCTCTGTCTCTCTCTCTCTCTCGCTATCTCTTTCGCTCTTTCTTCTCTCACTGCACTTCCGGTCCGTGGCACAGGCTCAGTTTCAGTTGATGCTTTACCTGCCCTCCTCGTTACACAAAAAACGTATTAGCTTGCCGCGTTTGCTCAGTTACATCATCATCATCAGCATCATCAGCATCATCATCGTCATCGTCATCATCATCGTTTTGAGTTGAGTTGCTCCCAAAGGAAGTTCCAATTTGTTGCGTCAATGGACCATGGACCCATCACACTCGTGAAGGACTCTGCCCACCCCTCGGCTTGCTGCTTGCTGTTTCAAGTAGTTTGCATTCGGCCCAACCCCAGTGTGAGCTGGATCTGCTTCTTGCCACCTTTTTCTAATGTGGCGCTGACTGCTGTCTGTCAACCGAAATTCTTTTTTGTTAGCCACAGCTGCGAGGGTTGTCACAGTGCGAATTATGCTATCAGTTGTAATGTATTGTAACAATTCTACATCGAAAACAATACAACAATATCGAATTATTCGATTAATCAGTTTGGTAAAATTCTTAAAAATGAATGAAATGATTATATTTTCTGCATTTATTTTATGTATTTATTTATTTGTTTTAAATGTGAACACAGTTCTTAAAAAAGCTTTTAATTAATTATAGCTTAAAATGTAATTTAAAATTATAATATAATAATAAATAATATATATTAATACGAAAAGCGAGAAATAGATTAAACATTTAAAATGAAAGAAAAAATTAAAATAAGGCATATAATAAATCTGAGGGCATCCAAATGTAAAATGATTCAACCACAGCAAGGATTGGGGAAACCCCAACAAAAAAACCCAATCAGACCAAGAATTGTTAAGCGTTAGTAGGTAGCTACAGAAGGTAAGTAAGTCATAGCCAGAGTAATAATAATAATAAAATATTCACATTCAAAGCACAT